GGAAACTTTAGAGTCACAAATTCTTAGATAAAGCGTAGATAACTGAAAAAGTGAATCAATTTCGACTTCTGAGTATCGTGTTCTAATGTGAATAAATAGATTTTGGCTGTAGCAATCCCAGGCGCAATGTTCTCGATCCGTGGGTTTTACGCTGAAATACAGCGAGTTAGAGACCTTACGATCAACTAAATTCGGATAAACTCATGTCCTCAAACTTCACTTTGTTAACCATAGAAGATGAGACGAGAGAGTGTATTACTGTCTGATTATTCATTCGAAATCAGATTCAGAACTACACTTAGTGTAGTTCTGATTTCATCGGTTGCATGGAGAAGAGAAAGTGTTGTCCTGAATATATATCACTCTAGTAACATCTTATGTCGTGATCCCGTGCTATGAGCTGCGGGAATATCTCCTTTTTGAGAATCCGACTCATGGGTCATTTCGTGGAGATGCAATGCACCACGATTTCTCCAAGTACAGTAGACAGAGTAGGCAACAAGAGTCCCAAACTAGGCAAGCTTTGGGGAAAGTAAAGTCATCGGATAGTTGGAATCGCACAAGACCAATCCCAGAAAGTACGACGGGGCAAGAATAAACACTGAGTAAATATTTACTCAGTAAATACTATGCTCTATTTACTGAGTAAATAAAGCGTGTCTTCTGAGTAAGTTTTACTCCACATACTCATTCATGGATGCAGAGGAGCAAATGGATTCAAACGTTGTTTCGTAGTGCCAAGCTGGAGAGTCCGACTAGAAGTCAGAAGAGATCATAAGAAACCAGCCCCATAGCCTCTACGGACCAACCCACAGAGCTCGTTTGCACCCGGAAGTGTACATTCTTGGTGCTAGGGTTGACAGTTGCAGTGGTATATATCATAACAGTTTGATAAATGCTAAAGCTAAAATCGTCAACTTCACGAAACCCATCGAAGTCATCGACATATATGGACAGGAGCTGGTATTGCTTGCCATTGAGTGCTCTTACGATATTGTCCATAACGTAAGCGTTGCATGGACTTAATGTTTCCAGATGTTGACACATCACTATTTACTCCGAGGGAAGTAGTGATGGGCATGGGTTTTAACCCACGTGAAAACGTTGCCCGTCCAAAACCACCCGTAAATACTGCCCACCCATGGTATGACAATGTCACCCAAAACCCATGGGCATGGGCACCCAATATCGGGCTCTGCTGCTCACGTACAGGCAGAGATGCCCATCTGAAGGTTCTGTGCCGGATTCAGCGAGCATAATGCATCCATGTGCAGTATCAGGGAAGGGAGCATATAGTTAAAGAAATTGGTAGATTTGGTATCTCATCGGGCTTTCGTCTGTACTGGTCGACGAGGAGGGAAGAACGACGAGTTGTTAGACGTGGAACATTTCATCCCCGTCGGAGCCAGGGCTCGCGCACGTCTCCGCCTCTTTGGCGTCATGGCCGCTGACACCGAAGTGCTGGTCTTTCTCGGGATCGATCGCCGAGATGAAAGCCTGGGGCTCACGATGTGCCCCGTCGGGCGCGTGCTGAGAGACGCGTGTCAGTTATGTCGGGAACAAGCTTCTTGGATGATGCGGAATTCCACAAGCAATAAAAGTTCTTTATTTTATTATCTCATGAAAAGTATGAATATAAACATTACTTGTGTTAGAATCTTTGATGTACAAGTAACCGTTGACTAATCCATGCTTTTACAATGTCATAAGTTTGACCAAGAAACTTTTTCTCTTGCAGATCATTTTTCAGTAAATTGGTTCTTGCTCTACTTGGATATCATCACGTGTACATTCCAAAAGATAAGGATTGCGTTCTGTATTCAGTATGTTAAAATCAACTATTTGTCATCGGTCTCTTGATAATGTTCTATTATAAAAGTAAAAGCATTTGTTTCATTAAATCAAGTAAAGCAAATTGCTTTTACTTTACTTTACTTTATCTTTATACTTTCAAGTCCTAACCCCTGGTATGTCCTCTAGTATTTTTGTTGTTTGCTTCAATGACGTCATTTCATCACTATTTCATATCCATGTGGTTTCAATGTTTATTTTCATTTCACATTCTTCTAGTCTATATGATAAGCTTAAAACTATAATTATCGTGCATATCTCAAATATATGTGATGAATCTTTACTTATATTGAAAAAATTTGATGCAAATATTTTAATAATTGGCTCGAAATGTATACATTTTCAAGTAATTAGTGTAAAAACTTGGATAGACTATTGGTGAATCATTGCAACATTCAAATGTTGCTCATTGATTCGACAAGTGAGAACAATGGTACCGACATCATTAAAAGGGAGTTGGAGTTGCTGTCGAGCTAAGCGCTGTTCTTTATATCTGTAAGTTGAATAAAAGAAAGACATGTTCATACCGATGGCTTCAATTATTCACAAAGCACATGGACACGGGATAGATATATCTTTTTGAAAGCGCTCAGGAATATGACATAATAGGCCAGTGAGCATTGATATGGTTGTCATTCGACTTCAGAAATTCCAAACGTGCATTCTTATAGATTTGAAAAGTGCTTTAGTCTATGAAGTTTAGTGTATTGTTGGTTTTATTAAATTTGAACCTGCTCTAAGCCCCTAGAATGCGGAATTGCATTCAGATGATGTTAGTCGTGCAATGTGCGAGGTAGAAAATTATCACCGTGGAGACTAGAGCTGCCCAATTATGTTGCTCTTAGAACTAGGATATGTATTATCTGAGTAAGATTCTGATTTTTATAATGTATGTAGTTGACTATCTCGATTTCAAACCATAATTGCATACCAGTTTTTACACATTAGGACAACTTTGCAGTTGGAAAGTTGAGGTATAGTCTGGAGCGACTATGGTTCAACTTCAAGATTTGATATTCAAGAGTAACTCTGCAGCTGAGTCCAGTTCGTTAGACTTTTCTAAACAAGGATGAAAATGATCAACCGCCTGATCAAGACATGATACTAAGAAAGTCCGAAAACAAACTGGTTTACATGCCAATGACACTTAGGCTCAGAACACATCATAACATATGTCAGAGAAGTCCGGTTGCTTCGGAATATCCATCCCAACGCAGCCAGTTTTTTATTGTGCTTCGTTCTTTCGAGGGATACATGATGGACGTTCTGTCAGTCCAAGCTAATTAATTTGGTGTCTTGAAGTGGTCACGGTATCCGTTATGGTAATAGATTTTTTCAGCGTACGATTACCTTTCGTCTCTTCATGGAGCCACGAGATGAGCTACCGCAATACTTCGTATTCGCCACAATATCATATATACACAGGCGATCGTATGCCGAGACGCTTAAACTACATAAACTAGACTCGCTCGCCGCGCCTACTTAGCCGTAGAAGTCAAGGGTAGCATCGTGCATATGGCGCATTTTACAAGTAACATTGAAATTATTGAGCCTTCGGTTATAGACTGCAAGTGAGGTTTCATTCGAATAGTCGATCGGAGCCATAAGTGAGTGAGTAAAAAGGCTGTACTAAAAATTTTGAGCTCCAACCTCGTTAGGCAATGGACTCCAAGTTGAGTGAAAGATGATGCTTTTTGCTGCAAGGTAACCATCTGCTTGAATTACCATCCTAAACTCTCCAGATATGTCTTAAGCCTGTACATTTGCTCTTAAGTTTCCGACAAGAAACATTCACTGCGTTGCGTGTGAGATGAGAGTAGATAGAATCTGAATGCGAAAGCGCAACAATGCACTGGTCTCTTCCGAAAACTCTTTTCCTGATTCCCAAATGAACATTAGCACTGAAGAGCTATGATGTGTGGCTTTCAGTTTAGCAACCAATTTGAAGTTGAGCCTTGTTTTGGCGACCGATTCAAGCCTCAAGATAACTGCGCCAGCCTCCAGCTTACGGTGAATCGAGGAACAATTCTCTTAAAGCGTCAAAATCAGTTGACCAACAAGTGTTCAGAGTCTCTTGACCATGTCCCGGTTCAGTATCAAACGCATGCAAAGCCGTGGATCTCATACATAAGGAGATGAATGGAACTTGCGACAATACAACGGACTGGGGTCCGCTACTCCTCTTAAGAGGAGGGGAGGAGATCCTTCCACAGTGCATGTAGATGATGAACTCCTGATGAATTCAGATTTTCTCAGAAGTAATGGCTCGAAGCAAGAGAAAGAGATGCCATTCCCCCGCGTCGTCTGTGGGTTCTAATAGCCCGAAAAGGTAGAAGCAAAAATGCGAGGAAACTCGCTTCTTGCTCCAGCGTCTCAGAAGGGTACAAATGCTTCAAAGTGACTAAGAATTCGATTCCTTCTACTCGAATCAAAATTTTCAGTCTTCTGCCGTGGATGTTATTGAGCAATTCGAGCACTGATTTGCACTGTACATACTTGATAAAGATCACATTCACAAAACGCCTACACCAATCCTAAACGAAGATCTCATGGTGCGACTAAATTAAGCTAGTTTAGGTAACTTAGGCTCCTGACTAAACTAAACAGGCCGGTATATACATATCCTTTATATAAGAATATTCATCAAACTTCCTCTCCTCATCACGCACTGTCTAACGGTATTTGAGAAAATGTGAGCGGAACTACTTTTCTTTTAGTACGGCCATTGTCGTGATGTCGCAGGACTTTGACTTCCGAAGTCTCAGGTCAGTCACGAAAATCTGCGTGCTTAGGCGACTGTGCCAGATTATCTGGCACAGTTGAGAAGGTTGAGAGTTGTTGAGAAGGTCGAGAGCCCAACGACCTTCTCAACAGCCCATCCAATACAGTTAAATCCTATCAACTCCAAGTGATCTGCATGGACACGCATGGAGACGCAGTCTGTGATCCGAGGTGTCAAAAGTAGATATCACGCGCTCTATCGGGCACCAACTTATCAGGCTGCTTGCAGCTTAAGGCTTAAGAACTCTGAGACTCATAATCTTAGACACTTATGAGGTCTGACGTAATACCAGTATGAAAGTAGAGGCTGGCTCAGTGGGACTTTCGGTCGAGTTTCATGTGAGTTTAAAAGACAGCACACCTCAAAGCTGGCTATCTTTGAGTCGAGGAATTGAGACCAAGTCAATTTCACAGACACTATAAGACTCGCATCAAGAAAATGAAAAGCACAGTTGAGTCTCCTATTGTGGTCCTCTTGTCCTCTTGTCCTCTCTGTAGTGAATGGATGCTGTTGCTGAGCAGAAAACGTTGTGGAGTCACGGAGTCGAGTCATGTACGAGAAAACTTTTTAATGTAAGAATTCTGGTGTATGTCATTTCGAGTGCTCCGTTTTGCACGTATCCACAGAATGTTGTATTCCTTATAGTACTATGGACTGCTTAGTAGAAAATAGGAGTTTGAATCTAGGCAGGTCGTACTCATAAACTCACTGTACGTAGTATGATAGTCCAGCGATGTACGTACGTTCTGTCAAATCTTCTTGTTTATATTGCACTCGTTCGAAGATCCCTCTTTGGAATTTCCATTGACATGTGCATTATTCTCCCGTGCCATCCCATGATGCATCGGCCCTGTTAGCAATTCTCAAGGACAGCTATTCGGCTGCGAGAAAAGGAATCAGCAAGGTGTAACCATGTTTCATGTTGCAGCTGCAGCACATTGCCGAGCATTTGAATCAGGTGCCGAGCAGGCATCTTGCGTTAGCTGCTCGAACTTCGGTGCAAGAGGCAGTGAAGAACATATTAATGATTTCATGTTCACCATACACGATGACTTCACGGAGGAGCTTGCTGTTCATGGTCAGCCTTGGAGTTTCACTCTCGCTGATCGTAAACTGCGTTCAAGCTGAACCTATCAAATACACCGTAAACACCTTCAAGAACTGCCTGCCCGGGTTTGTGCCAGAATTGAATGAGACGACATTCTGTTGTCCTCCCCAGAAGAACCTGAACGGACCTATCGTCGACTTCGTCCCAAGGCACGATCCACACAAGCCTCTGAGGATTAAGAAAGCTCTCCAGTGTCTGAGCGGCGAGGAGCTCCGAACTTACACCTGGAAACTGCAGAAGGGGTACGAGCTGATGCGAGCACTGCCAGACGACGATCCTCGTTCCTTTTACCAACAAGGAAAAATCCACTGCGCATACGGAACTGGCTGTTTTGCTCAGGACAGCACAAATATCACTCTGGATGTTCACTACAGCTTTTTTTTCTACCCATTTCACCGCTACTTTCTGTACTTCCATGAAAAAATCCTCCAGAAACTATTAGGCGATCCTTCATTCACTCTCCACTTTTGGAACTACGATAACAGCATCACCACGTCACCACCGGCTGGATCACGCGATGGTTGTTTCAAGGCCGGGCATTTTTTCCCTGCCATCTACAATGATCCAACCAAAGCCACGTACAGCGCCAATCGATCCATCAGAGCTTACACGCCGAACCTGGTCACCGACCTCGGCATACCTGTCTCCACGAGAAACACAACATCATTGCCGTTCGATGAGGCCGTCGCCAGAAACAGGGCCGTCATGCACAACAGTCTGATCACGAACGCTACGACCTCCAGAGCCTTTCTGGGTAGAAACTATTCCGTTGGAGACTCCCAGCTGCTAAATCCGGGCCTAGGAGACGGAAGCTTTGAGGCTGCACATGCCAGTGTCCACTGGTGGGTTGGAGGAATAATGGGCCCCGTGACAACGTCGGCATCAGATCCAATTTTCTATGCTCACCATAGTAATGTGGATAGATTGTGGACGCTGTGGCCCAAGCTAGGTCCGAACCGACACGATCCAACCAGTAATTTAGACTGGATGGATGCCGAATTCCTTTTCTGGGACGAAAACAAGGTTCTGCGACGGGTGAAAGTGAAAGACAGTTCAACGACCGAGGCGTTTGGCTTTCGGTACCAGGAAGTGAACGACGCAAGCTGGATTCAATTCCCTAATTAGATCCGTTCTGCTGCAGCTGTGTGTTCTGAATAAGAAGTACAGCGTACAGGAATCATTCATGTCTTGCTTCATTCCGTCGACCCTAGATAAGGTTCTGCATTTAATTACGTGTGTCATCTGTTAGATCCGGAAATGGGTAGATGGTGTGGTACAAAATTTACGCCTTGCTCGTGCTTTAGATTTAACTAGCAGACATAAGAGACAGCAGAACTACGTTAGCACGAGTTTCCGTCGTCTTTCTTTGCAGCAAAAAAACTTGGAAGCTTGTGCATATGCTCCTGCATTGGGATCAGCACGTTAATAAAGTATTCTCGACTTTAAGTACCGGATTCATTGCGTACAGGCGCCAATCGTGTCGGTAGCTATAAGCGAGAGGCTGGAATCTACCGACAGTTTTTGAGATCCTTGATTTATATTTCAGCTATCTACGTTCCAATCCCACTTTCCACTCAGTTCGATTTTTTCAAGGTATAGAATGATAAGATTGTGAGACAAACAATTCATACGAGAGATCTTACTCATAATAGTTTTGGTTGAAGTTTATGAACCATCTAGGTAAGAGGAGGGCGCGGAGGAAAACTGCATAAAATGAGGAATTAGATATATAAATCCTCGGCAGCGTCTCCAACACCTTTCATGATCAACTTTGAAGAATGTGGACGGCCTGCATTTACAGCATAGCAGTCCAAATTCCAGGGACTTGCTCACGACTGTTTGACTTGATCAAGGCAGTTTCTTAGAGGGCCTCGCATGTGGTCGTTTATGCGTCTACTGCTGGGAAAGAAGTAGATTCAGTTCATACTCAAAGCTGTAGGCCACCTGCACCATTCTCGATATTTCAAGGTGCAATTTGACCACCGTTTGAGCATCAGTGCATCTGGTTCAGACCTTGTTGCTCATGGACATTCGTCAATTGATACTAAGTTGAACGCCTGCGAACGGAATATTATACATGTCAGCTTTGCAAACAGATTAGTGTTGACGGACTGAACGATATACTGTCTTCAAGCTATCATAATCTACTGGTATAAGTTAAGTCTGAGTCAAAGAAGGAATCGATGTGAACATGGTCAAAAGGTGAGATCACTTGACATTCTGAAGCGTCCCTATAGGCTACATAAGCTAGGTTCCTAGCACGGGTGTTTGAGTCTGGTACTCTTCCAAAGCTGAGCTACACGATACATATCCTCAGGAATAGTTCATCGACAAACAAGGCGTAGAATTAGAACAATGGCATGGATGATGATCAGCTGGATGCTCTCTAGGTACAAGTACGCTCAGAAAATTCATCGTCTATAAAACATTCTTGACCCCAGGTCACCAGTCCCCAGCTGACTGGTAAAGCGATCGGACCCAGACGTGGAGTTACTGCACCACGAATAAGGCATAAGGCCGATGAACCCGAGTTCCATCATTCTTCCGGATACGCCCCGAAGTTAATTTGGGTTCGGCACGGCAAGAACCATTGCCAGGCAGGGTCCTAGAGACACGAAGAAGTCCATTCATCTCAAGAGTCAATCTGAGTCGACCCGAAGTTATTGTGGGTTCGGCACGGCAAGTACCATTGCCAGGCAGGGTCCTAGAGAAACGAAGAAGTCCATTCACCTCAAGAGTCAATCTGAGTCGACCCGAAGTTATTGTGGGTTCGGCACGGCAAGTACCATTGCCAGGCAGGGTCCCAGAGAAACGAAGAAGTCCATTCACCTCAAGAGTCAATCTGAGTCGACCCGAAGTTAATCTGGGTTCGGCACGGCAAGTACCATTGCCAGGCAGGGTCCTAGAGGCACGAAGAAGTCCATTCACCTCAAGAGTCAATCTAAGTCGCCAGAGTCCGCCCCGCAGTCGTAAGCAGATTTCGCTTGCTTTGTTTCACAAGTTGACGACTTCCTTCGTGTGCCGTTGACAGCTTTGTGGCCTGTTGAGACTTTATCTGTTCCGCTGTACGCTAGCAACTCGCGATCTCTCGCAAGGTTCACAAACCATATAACAGTATTTCAAGCATGTGTTATGTGCTTTCCTTAGCTCCCAAAAAGAATTGAGAATCTGTACAAGGTTGACAAACCATATTACAGTATTTGATGCATGTGGTATGTCACATACCCGATTTTTTTTGGCAGCTAAGGAAACCACATACCGTATGTGGTTTCCTTAGCTGCCAAAAAAATTTGATAATCTCTACAATGATTAATGAGCAGAACTCAAAAAACCGGCAGCCAGTATCTGATTCTCTGGCGCTATTCTAGATTGTGGTGTGCGGGTTTTACTTTAGACGTGTGGATCTGCAACGGTATAAATTGTACGGGGAACCGCACATGCACTTGTCTGACTAGCGTGCATCTCCGTCTCTTTCAAAAACTGTTTGTTACACGTTTGTTCACGCATTTTACTTTATCTCTTTTGGAGTTGACAATCTAAAATTATTAAAAAGTGAAAAATTAGTATGTAATGTATAGCGTAGTTTTTGACATAAATTCAATAATATTACCATGAAAAAAATATTAAAATATAACTAAAAGATCTATACGAAAACCAACTTTAGTTTGGATGTCTCAAATATATCGCGTTAGCTAGATAACTTTTTGAAGTGATGCATACATGTCACTTAAACATTATTGTACCATAATCCATAAAGTATCTATACGAAAACCAACTGTAGCAAACTTTAGTTTGGATTGGTCTCAAATATATCGCGTTAGCTAGATAACTTTTTGAAGTGATGTATACATGTCACTTAAATATTATTGTACCATAATCCATAAAGCATCTATACGCAAACCAACTGTAGCAAACTTTAGTTTGGGTTGGTTTCAAATATATCGCGTTAGCTAGATAACTTTTTGAAGTGATGCATACATGTCACTTTAACATTGTTATATCATAATCCATAAAGGATCTATACGAAAACCAACTGTAGCAAACTTTAGTTTGGATTGGTCTCAAATATATCGTGTTAGCTAAATAACTTTTTGAAGTGATGCATACATGTCACTTTAACATTACTATACCATAATCCATAAATAATAAAGGTAACGATTAGTTATTATTCAATTTTGGCTAATTATAATCTCTACAAAAGAGATTATAATTAACCAAAAGAGGTATGTGATTAGTGAGATGTAGTGACGGGAAATGGATATAGTTTTTGTAGGATGGATAGATGCTACTTCTAAAATGGAGTTAATGGAGTTTTTTTTTTTTCCCCTATGCGTATCTATGGCACAACGTCACCGTTTCAAATGGTTACTAAAGGGATTCCGATTAGAAATTAAGGGGGAATTCGAATGATAGAGTGACAGGAAGGTCACAAATATTCGGATTCGGCGGATGATTTTCACCAGATTCCGATCGGAGCAAGTAGCTGTTCGGCGCACAGGGTGGGTGCCAACCGGGTCAAGGGACAAACGTGTGATCACCACGGAGGTTCTAGTGGGCAACTTCAAGCGCAGTCGTCATAGACTACCAGCAGCAGCAAGTGATCAATCGTTGGAGCTATGCGGCAGAGCAGTTGTCGACGAGTTTGGTTTTGTTTATATGTCGGGGACATGGCGAATTCTGATCAAAGTGGAATGGTTTATGCGAGTCTGCTTCACGACTGTCAAATGCTTGAGATCAACAACAAGCGGGCTGATCCGCTATACTTCGTTCATGCCAACCATGTCATGTCGAGGAGCGGAACAATGGTTTCTATGGGTTGTACCGCCGCGTGGTTCGTCATTCTCTGCCGAGCGAGGCGACGTATGGACCGCAGTGAAAGATTGGGCAAAAGGAAGGGAAATGAGGGAGATCAATTCGGGCTATCTCATCTGCGGCTGCTTCATTGAGGCTAAGACACCCTATATCCCCGTCCCTACATCTGACCAATCAAATACCTCTACAAAAGAAAGTATAATAGTATGAAGTATAATTAGCCAAAAGTTATATATAACTAGTTGCTCCTATGTTAAAACCTCTTCCATATGGTATTAGTAACTCTTGTTAGTTTCTTTTCCATATATGTGAAAGTTGATACTCTATATAATTTCAATACAAAAAAATAAATTGGTTTCTTTATATTACCAAACTTGAAAAACTTGGATGTTGTCGCTTTGCTAGCTGGTCAAACATGAGATTTATGAGCACATCTTTGAAATTGTGTCATCTACTTAGAGAATACTAACCGTACTGTTGCATGAAAGTGCTTCTGAGAAATCATGAACACTGACGTAAAAGGTATTAAGGTTGTTAACATTCATGTTAGATTAAATCGGTTTAAACCGGTTATCCAAAAAATTGACCTTGGTTTCTCTCGTTAATAAATCAATTGAAGATTAGATTATTGAGAGGGATAATAACAAACATTATAATTTTGTTGTGTATGGAAAACATGGATTAGGCTGCATACTTCAAGATCAAAGTGTTAATGCATTGCAATTGCAACATATTCTAATCTTCCACATATTCTTCAAGTGTTCGAGTATCAACTACTTTGTGAATATTTACACACATGACATAGCACTTGCTTTTACGTTACAACACAACTATATAAAAAGCTTAGGCATTTCAGCATCCGCCAGTTCATGTCAAAGAGATTTAGGTTTGTATACCATTCACGTTTTTCATCTCTACTACAAAAGGTAGTGAGAATATCTTGTAAGCTTAACAACTTTCAATCATGATCAAGAAAAAATACATTTAGTTTCAACATCTTATTGTTATAATAGTAGACGTTTTGTAGGTGTCTTACCGAGAATATTTGTGAACTTATCAAGTGTATAAAAGATGGATATTGAATATTGACTTGAATATCACTAGTTCATGAAGCATGTTCTTCATTTTGATGCTATCGGTAACATTTGCACTTTCTTGGTTGATAATATGGTATATAGAAAACATAAAATTCATCCTCTAGCTCTAATAGAATTCAATCATTCAAAGAATTGCACAATTTTTCAGAAGAGATTATATTTGAAAGCCGTTATGAGAGACTATCATCATTAGCTTGGAGCACACAAAGGTTGTTAAAACACTAAAGTGAAAATATAATGGGATTAAATGCAAGACAATACTTGAATTTAAGAAGAATAAAAAAAGAATTTAAGAAAAATAATTTATTTCATCTTCTACCTATCATTGTTGTAACAATTGTCATCTTTCATCAACAATATAATGATGAAAAAATAATTTGTATAAGTATCGATAACCATCTATTAAAAAAATTCAGACAAGCTTTTGATTCAAAAATCATGAAAAAACTCGAGTCAAGATAAATCGTTGTAGTGATTTTCAATAGACCGTAGGGCGGTGCACTGGCATGACTAAAATACGACGGAAAAGCGCCCTCCTCGGGAAACTTGCTCGA